CTCATAAAACAAGAACGACTTCTTATCACCCGCAATCTGATGGAATGGTGGAACGATTTAATCAGACATTGGAGAGGTACCTAGCAAAAGTTGTAGACAATCGGCAACGAGATTGGGACAAGCACATACAACCGTTTTTGTTGTCATATCGAAGTTCTGTTCACGAAAGTACAGCAGTGACACCAGCTTTCGCAAACTTTGGAAGAGAATTACGGCTGCCTGCGGACCTGATCACCGGGATACCACCTGATGCCCCACGCAGTATAACCGATTATGCAAATGACTTGCGGAACAAAATGAATGACGTTTATGAGCACGTCAGACAATCGGGCCAGCAAATGTCTGAAAAGATGAAAACCCGGTATGACCGCAAAATGAACAACAAAGGGTTCGACGAAGGTTCACTTGTGTGGTTGCACAATCCAGTCCGCAGCAAAGGGAAATCTCCTAAGCTTCAAGCTAAATGGGACGGCCCGTACCGTATTGTAACCAGGATCAACGATGTGACCTACCGGATACAGAAAGGCGCAAGAGGGACTCCTAAGATCGTCCATGTGGATCGCTTGGCGCGTTATTATGGGACCGATAATGCTCGGGACGAGCATGTCTTAGGAGGGGGCAGTGTTGCATGAATAAGTCAACTAGCGCCATCTAGTGTCAGGAACGGGAGCGAGGGGAGCATTGAGAGAGTGGCGTCACAAATCACTCAACTGACAGCGCCTAGTCGAAACTCGAACGCTCGGTACTTTGCCCGTGTTTACTTGAACATTCTGGATATTTCTTTGCTAATTTAAATATATAGGCGCTGCAAGATGCGATCGAGGCAGAGTGAACTCGGCGACACAAGCGAAGCTTCGGAGTGGAATTAAGTGAATTAGTGTGTTTAAATTATTAGTGTTTTAACTTTAATTGTGTAAAGTAAATTAAAGTGTTAATTTAGGTAATTTTATCGGCAATTTTTGTTGTCACGAACCTCAAGCTCGTAACAATATGCTTATTTTACTCGCATGTTCAAAGTTGGAATTTCTTAAATATTTAACATAGAAAGTTAAAACAATGTTTTCCACTTGAAATTATACATATCTTAACTAAGTATTCTCCAAAGATTTAAGTTATTTTTTTTTAATTTTTACTCTGAACTACACAGTATGAACTTAACTGGGGATAAACGCAGTTAAGTATGACATCTGAACGTTTAACACCTCCGCCCCCCCCCCCTCCGTGACCATGGGTGCTATAAAGTACTTGAAACGTCGGGAATATAAAACAGTTAATATACGCGATGAAATCCGTAAAAACTAGTTTTATTTAAATCGATGTAGTCCCAGTGTCGTTATTGTTCGATCATGACGCGCTGTCGACGTCGGTGTAAGAATATCCGCCGCGCCACGTCGCCCCGTGGGTGTCTTAAGAGGGGACGGAGGGGAACTGAAATAGGAGACAAGCCGCAGCCGCAGCATGTTCCAAAAAAACAACTCAAAAACTGTGATTACCTACACACCTGGCTAGGATGTGTTGCATTGTAGCTGTAACTATAATAGATATGTATACGTCATAGAATACTATAATTACATACATAATAGAACGGGGGAGTGTAGCCATTAAAATGCCACTAACATGTCAATTCATACGTATAAATGTCAACACAGGATGTGTTTTGACGTTACAATCGTTTCCACATTTCGCACGCAAATTATTTAGAAAATGCCAAATTGCACGCTATATACAAATAAATATATATTAAAATCCGTCTGTCAACACAGCGAATCGGGTTTGTGGTAGTGATAATACGACGTATGTGTTATTTATTGCTTGTATGTGTGCTCCCTACGACGCTGATCCTCGTACAAAATAAGGTTGACAGCCATTCTATTGTGTATTATAGTATTCTATGGTATACGTATATGGCACGTCAGGCCTTACAGCCTTACGCACAGCTTACTCAGTGTTCAGTGAATAAATATCTGTTGATTCAGACGGTTGTGTGCTTATTTAACAATAGTTGCCATACATTACAGTGGCGCAGTCGGTAAATTCAAAATGTCTATCGTCTACTTACTTCGTCGGCTTATACTGAGCGCATAGAAAAATACAATAAATTACGAGTACGTACGTTAAACGCGTGCTTCGGCGACGCGACGTACGAGCTTAATGTCGACCGTTGCACACCTAAGAAGCCGTCCGAATTGAAATTTGTTACGTGGTAAAGCTTTGTTGGCTATATTCGTAGTATAGTTGTAGCACGAATGGGTCGGCTCGACCGGGGAAGGACCACGCTCTCACAGAATACCAGCGTAAAATAGCAGCTTAATGCTGCTGTGTTTTAATGGTGGTTAATATAGCGCATAGCGTATATTATAGCGTGCTATCTCTTCATAACGCATAGCGCGTGCTATGTAAGTAGTCGCCATGGCGCTATGACGCTATGACGCTTTGGCGCTATTCATATCAAGCGGCAATTAGTTCTAGCAGCAGCGCTGTTGGGAGCAGACGTGTGACGCAAATTTAATCTAGCAGCACGCTATTCATCGCGCGCGAACTATTTAGTGTTAGACGTTATTTAGTTATTGTATACTGTATATTTATAAGTTCACAGTGGTCTGCTACAAAAGAAGCCTTACTAATGTTTTTAAATGTAAATAAAATAAAGATACAAAGTGTATAATAATAGTGTTTGTAAATAATTGATTTTTGTATATACAATCAATAAACTTTTAAATACAAGTTTGATTTATAATTTATATTAAGGTTAAAATAACGTTTACATCAATTATAATAAAAAATGATTAATTTTATTTTGTTTTAAAAAGTACAGTCTTTAAAAATATTTTTAGGATTATAAAAAGTCGTAAGCCTGAAAATTATGAAAGAGCGTTCTTTAATTTTTCTTTACCACTTTATTTTATTTTAATCTAAAATGCGACTTATTACGAAACAATGTTTTTATATAGCACGTGGTCTATCCAATGAACGACATGTAATGTAGCGTGCTCCGAGATATGGCGTGCTGCTAAACTTAACGCGCTTGCCGGCCTCCTACACACTTTTTTATAAATAGCGCGCTATAACATAGCGTATTTAATAGCGCGCTAGAAATTTCTAGTTTATAGTCTGTAGCGTGCTATTGATTTATAGTCGTTTTGAACAACTTTACTGTGTTTCGTATGGTGAGTGTAGAGAACCGGAGACCCCTTTTACTGAAAACGAGGCATTCCATCTTAGTCCTCACGGGTGACAACGCATCTGCATCTTGATTCGTAATTGACTATGGGCTACTGCAACCACTTACCATCAGGTGGACTATGTGCTTGCTTGTCACCCTTCTCCTATTAAAAAATATAAAAACCTAGTACAAGTAGTGAAGAAACATATTCAATTCAGTCTATGCCATCAAGCGTAGCGCCTTTGGCAAAATCCCCTTATGAAGCACTTTGTGTGGAAGGCCTGTGTTCAGCAGCGGACTTTAGACAGGATGCGTGGCGGCGCTGCCGCCGCGTCACAAGCGACACATCGCTGCAAGCAAGCCTAAATCGCGCTATCAAAGTTCCGAATAAACCACAGTATATACAGTGTGTGGACTTTAGACGGGATGCGTGGCGGCGCTGCCGTCGCGTCACAAGCGACACATCGCTGCAAGCAAGCCTAAATCGCGCTATCAAAGTTCCGAATAAACCACAGTATATACAGTGTGTGGACTTTAGACGGGATGCGTGGCGGCGCTGCCGTCGCGTCACAAGCGACACATCGCTGCAAGCAAGCCTAAATCGCGCTATCAAAGTTCCGAATAAACCACAGTATATACAGTGTGTGGACTTTAGACGGGATGCGTGGCGGCGCTGCCGTCGCGTCACAAGCGACACATCGCTGCAAGCAAGCCTAAATCGCGCTATCAAAGTTCCGAATAAACCACAGTATATACAGTGTGTGGACTTTAGACGGGATGCGTGGCGGCGCTGCCGTCGCGTCACAAGCGACACATCGCTGCAAGCAAGCCTAAATCGCGCTATCAAAGTTCCGAATAAACCACAGTATATACAGTGTGTGGACTTTAGACGGGATGCGTGGCGGCGCTGCCGTCGCGTCACAAGCGACACATCGCTGCAAGCAAGCCTAAATCGCGCTATCAAAGTTCCGAATAAACCACATTATATACAGTGTGTGGACTTTAGACGGGATGCGTGGCGGCGCTGCCGTCGCGTCACAAGCGACACATCGCTGCAAGCAAGCCTAAATCGCGCTATCAAAGTTCCGAATAAACTACAGTATATACAGTGTGTCCGGTCACGGACTAGCGATATGTTAGGTACTTATAATACAGCTATTTTAATATAAAAATACACCACACACTGAGTTCTAATCCCCTCCCCCTCTATTTGGCATCCATTTTGTTTTTCTCTTGAGATATTCTCTACGCGTTTACGAAAAAAGTCATATCTCTGAAAGTTTTAGTCTTACTGACATAAAAATTAACTCATTCGGAGGCCAATAATATTGTTTATCGTTTACATTGTCAAAATTTTTGTTGACATACTTGTAACTTTGAAGAAAAAAAAATTTAACTTCAAATAAATATCAAAAAAATATGCTAATCGGCAAATTATTGTAAATTACTGCAAAAAACAACCCCGTTTACCCTTCTTATTTTTATACTAGATCGACAGATTTTGAGTTAAGCTACAATGCAACATAAAGTTTACAGCTGTATGTTTATTACTTTAAGAATTATTGTTGTTTGAACATGGCGTATGCCCAAACACAAAAGGCCTTTGTTAAGTGACAACTGGCACTGCCTGCCTAGGAGTAATAGTGTTCTGTGCTGCCTGCTCTCAAATTATACTACTTATAAATGATGATTCTGATTCTCTGATCTCTAATTCATCATCTCTAATTCATCAAAGATCATAAGTAATCTCAGATTACTATTACTCCTAGGTCGCTCACTATTACTCTAACATAAGAAAAAAGAACAGTTGTTTTAATAAATACATAACTTTTTCCAGATCGCCTAAAGATTCGAGTCATCCCAACTATTGGTTTGGTGAAGCAGAACAAGACCAAGGACTTCATAGTGGGCTTCACGGACCTCGGCAACTGTGATGACTTCTCCACCGAGGTGCTGGAGTGGAGAATAGCCAGGTTAGTTTTGTATTGATCTATATCCATGGGTATTGGTAGTATGGTTTATATTACCGTTTGTAAGAATTACTTTACCCGTACCCGCTCAATAAAATAAAATGATGTGTCCTACGCAGTGTGACGAGCACTTCCCGCTCTTTCTCAATTGCGTCCACTAATCCCGTCACCAGTAATCCCATCACCACAACTCCCAACACGACTATTCTAGGAAAGAAACACCGTCGACGATAGTACGATACGTGTTTCGCCTCTACACAAGGCATCCTCAGGTGAAGTAGACTCTGCGGTGCCTGACCGCTAAGTCAGCAATCGTGGGAGGGCGGGAGGTGTTCTTCGAATTATGTAAGACACATCATTTTATTTTATTGAGCGGTTGTGTGCGAAGTAATTCTTAACAACTTTAATGTAATAGATTTCCGCAAAGTAACGCTTGATTCTATTAATTAGAATGGATTATGAGAGCTTTTAAGCTATTGCATAGCTTCTATCGCGGGCCTTGAGCGCGGGGACCGAATCCAGAAATTCCGTAACGAAAAAAAACCTCACGCTCCCCACTCCGACGGGCACGGAGGTGTGGCGTTGAAAGCCGTGCATCGTCTAACGTCGTTTCAGTTCGGCAGACTTCGGCACTCGGCAGACTTCGGCACGGTGTTTGTGTGCGTGCGACTAGACGTATGCGTGTACACTAGCTGCTAACTCAATGATAAAAATTCCTGAATAACCTACATGTATTGTAAGATATTAAAAATATTTTAAACAATATTAACTTCTCATTTATTCAATAAGAGAAAAAAATTGTTTTCTTATCGGTCACCACGCTCAAAAAGTGTAACTTGATTTAATATCAAAGACTTAACTGCATAAATAAAATAAATAAATAATTATAATTGCATAAGTTGATAAAAAATGCTATGCAATAGCTTTACCGCGGCAGTCCCCGAGTGCCACACGTATTTTTTTTGTTAGAAAAAGGTGACAAACAAATGCAGTCTGTGCGACGGTAGGTTGATGCTGTGGCCCATAGACATCTATATTTATCTTCTATTAAGAATCTAAATGCCGATACGTTGTCACACTCACCACACGAAACAGCACCATAGAGCTGTTATTTTACGCTGGTATTCTGTGAGAGCATGGACTTTCTCCGGTCGAGCCGACCCATTCGTGCTACAACTATAATATAGTTGCGGCGTGGCTCTACCACGTGTATAGCGGACCTACATTTGCGCAGTAATTGCTTTAGGTTGGTTTGCAAGTGACAAAATTTGCACTCTTTTTAACTGATTTTGAAAATGGAATAAGTTCTCGACATTTTGTAATGTAAGTAATCTGAAAAGACAAACGGTGGACTGTAAGTCAGTCCACCTGATGCTAAGTGGCTGTTGCGGTCCATGGACACCTGCAGCAATGTTCAAACAAAGAAATATAAGGATGCATTGTCACCTCTGAGGATATGGGATACCTCACAGTGTGAAACTGTACCAGTTCTATGTACTACCCTATAGAACGGAGTATAGATATGCAAGCACTGCTGTTTGGAATATATGCCAACAGAACAACGACGTAATTACGTTTTCGATATTTTTCAGGAGAAGGATTTCAAAGTTTGAAATTAATATTTTGGTGCTGCAGAAATAGGTAAAAGAATGGTGGCTACAACCACTCTTTTACCAAACTCTAAACTTGAAAAGGAACAACACCATTACCTACCAACTAGTATAATAATAATTCGACTGCAATTATGTGATACGCGATGTCTTCCCCACTTGTGATCCTAATGACGCTAGAGAAAACCTTCTTGCGATACAAACAATATGTTCAACAACTGCCATGATCCTATTTCTTTTTTCAATACCTAAATATTTTTAAAACTATGATTGACTTACACTATACTAGAATTATTTTGTCCGTGCAGTTTGGGTCGTAAATCATCGGAGTTCGCGAGTTTCGCTCTCTCTCTCTCTCTCCCACTCACGGGCGTTGGGGGCGAGCATAGTGATGCGCATTATTGTTGTCGATAAGCGTTATCTATAGTGTATTTAGTTTTGTCATTATGTGGGTGTAAAAAAAATTAATAACTCATTAACAGATCTATCGCATTATTATTAGCATGAACTATCGCATTAAGTTATTAAATCTGTATCTCAGAAGCTTGTGTAGGGAGGAAAGTGAAGTAATTGTTCACATCCATTGTAGTTAATTTGTTTTTCACATCAGAGACGCGTGTTCACACGATACACTCAGAAAGGAACTGCCGAACCGTCCTTCCAGCGGCGGTCGCTATCGTATTTCATGAGAATTACATTTATATTGACACGGGCGATGTTTGTGTGTGCTATGTTAGCAGCACCCACAGTATGTAAAAGTAAAGTAAAGTTACAGCCTATAATACGTCCCACTGCTGGGCACAGGCCTCCCCTCATTCCTGAAAGGGTTTTAGGGTAATGAAGTGTCCGTCGCGCTGCCGCAATGCGTGTTGGCGAACTTCACATGCCTTCGAAATATTTTTTTTCTTATTCCTCAGATATGCAGGTTTCCTCGCGATGTTTTCCTTCACAGCTGAGCACTTGATAAATCAGCACTTAAAATTGCAATTAAAAATTTCATTGGTGCCGGCGGGGATCGAACCCGGGTCACTCGCGTTCTGTTATATTTACAGCGAGCGCTAACCATCTGAGCTACCACGGCTCAGTGTGTATGTAAATAAGTCTAAAATGAATACTAGATTTTTAATATTCGCTATTCTTGTTGCTGGCGTCACTTATTATTTGTAGAAAGATAGAAACCATGGGGGGGGGGGGGGTACATTTCGATACTTTAGGTTGGGGTGTGAAATTTGCAATGACACTAGTGCCATCTTGTACGATATCCGCATAAACTTTCGAACATTAAATTCAAAAAGGTGCGCTAGATGGCGACTACACCAATTCTGGTTATTCTCGATCTGGCAAGTAGCAACTTTATATGACATAATGGGTACCGGCGTCTGAGTAAGTTGTTGTTTTCACGAACGCTTTTGCCATTTATGATTTTCAGTTGTTGCCACAATAAGTTTGTTGAGTTGGGAGCCCTCTGTTTCTTGTTGTCTGTTTAGATTTTCATGCTGGAACCACATTGTATGTTCGTGTAGTGTTGTGCGAAATAGATGCTTTCATTTATCATTCCGGCAACCCGGTGGACATATTTAATTTGGTTTGGTGTTGTATTTTGCGGAATACACGCTTTTACATCGTGTATGTTAAATATATATAACAAAAATAAATGTTAATATTACTGAAATCCATAATACGTCTTTAATTGAACCCTAATCCTTTATAATATAAATATAACCGCCTATAGTATAGATAGCTGTATATACATAACTACATACAGCTATCTATAGTCAACATGATATTGAGATTAGTTCAAGGGATATGATACCAGGCGGCGACACTATTCATATTGGGTGACAAAAAATTCTAGGAGATGGCTCTCTATTTCTGTATAATATATTACTCTACTCTATGATAGAAACATTTGACTTATCAACATACAACATGTGGAAACACATGAATTCATACAAATTACAAGTCGGTACAAGTACACATTCTTCGCGCTTTGTCTACCTAGGTATGTACCTAGGTCTTCTTTTGATTTGAGATTTAAAATCAAAAAGTATTAAATCGTATTTTCCAGGGCCGATGTAATAGAGTACTCGGGTGACTTGCTGGTGCCGCCCGCTGAGGCTCGCAAGCAGCGCGCTCTCACTGTGCAGGGCAAGAAGACAATACGCGGCCGACAGGACAGCGACTCCGACCTCGAGCTCAGTGATTGAGATTATAATGTTAATATCTTTGTTTTAATAATAAAAATTATACAGTCTACAAAATTACCAATTTGGCATAAAATTGAGAATATGGCAATCTAGGATATTTGCTAATGATTGGCTAAAGGCCATGAAGCCTATGACACGATAAATAATAAAAAAAGCTTACCAACTGAAATGTTTTAAATTGATTTATACTAATGAACAAAATACTTGTGTTAAGATTGAAGAGCATACTGAGTGCTTAAAGCAACAAGGAAGTAAAGAACACTACGTATATTTAAAGTGATTCCCAAACCATGCTCAACTTATATTCAGAATACACATTTATGCACACACGTGCATGAGTGCGTATTCTGTTGTACCACAATGTACGTTGTTTTTTATCAACGTTAGTACGTAGTTTTATGTTTTTCATTATTTTTTTTCGAATCTGCGAATGAGATGAATTTTAACAATTTGTCTACAAGACTGCTTCAGTATTTTCAAATGGATTCCCAGTTTACAAGTTACTATATTGTAATATGCTGTTTCATTAATTAAAGCTTAAAAATTCTTTGTTCCAAGTTATTTATTTAGTTGACTTTTGCATTTATATTTATATTCAGCGCTATTATAACGAAAACTCAAATATAATTTGCTTGTATTGTTATGGAAAAATTTAATCGAAACTACAAATTGATTATATTACTATCACAATAATACGTAACATACATACAAATCAATGATAATGTCCCAACATTAACGATTAATGACTGTTAAGTGTGTGTAATGTTGCATTAACTTAAATTTACCATAAATGCTGCACTAGCTTTGATATTTAATTTGTGTGATCGAATGTTAATTAAAATTTTCTATATGATGTAGTTCACTGTTTTGTACTTCATTGAACTGTTGATAGAGAGTTAACAAATAATATTATATTTGCTAAGTTATAAATTGCCTATTTTAACTGTTTAAACTGTTCCGAATGCTGATAGTTTTGTATTTTAATAAAAATACATTTTATACAACATATTCTTATTTCATTTCTTATACATTGTCTTATAAATACTGAACAGCCGTGATAAAATAGAATAGAATCACTTTGATTCAATATAGATTATAAGAATACTTTTCGAAAGTTTTTTAAGCTATCACTGGTACGGGAGAAACCGCCATCCTGGGAAGAACCAGCAAGAAACCTTTTGGGACGATTTTATGGAATAGATTATGAGAGCAATCGCCTTAAATTTCATTTTGCTGTGTGTGTTTCCGGTGCTGACACCGCTTCTATTGTAAGTGCCTATTTAGAAAGTAGTTTAATTGGAAAAGTTTCGGAATCAACGGTTTACCTAAGAGTAAAGTCACGTAATGCGTTACTGTGACAGCACGATACGTAAAAGGTGTTTTGCGACGCCCTACATTAAAAATACATGGTTATACTGGAAAAGCAATAATTTTATCAACTTAACGTTTCCAGTGCCAGGTTCTTATACATGGTAGTCATGCTGCAGTTATATTAGGATATTATGGGTCGGCTCGATCGGGTAAGGACCACGCTCTCACAGAATACCAGCGTAAAATAGTGGCTTAATGCTGCTGCGTTGCGTTGTAAAGTGAGTAAAGAGAACCGGAGACCCTTTTTACTGGAAATGAGGCATTCCATCTTAGTCCTCACGGATGACAGCGCATTGCATTTTGATTCATAATCGAGGATGGATGTAGATGTCTATGGGCCACAGCCACCACTTACCATCGGGTGGACTATAAAAAAAAGGTCTAGCACTCTTCTATCTAGTTGAAGCGGAGCTCCCACGGCGCAAGAAAACGATTCTTTGAAATCTATCTCCTCCATAACCCGTAGGTCAATTTACATAATTTTTCGGCAATATTTGTAGCTCAAACCAGATAATGTTTGTAAAAAATAACAATCTGAATTTGAATTTTTTTTCTTTTACTACCTAATTAATTCACTAATTTACATCTGCGCAATTGATTGAATCTTGTTGAAAAAATACGTGTGGCACTCGGGGACTGCCGCGGTAAAGCTATTGCATAGCATTTTTATCAACTTATGCAATTATAATTATTTATTTATTTTATTTATGCAGTTAAGTCTTTGATATTAAATCAAGTTACACTTTTTGAGCGTGGTAACCGATAAGAAAACAATTTTTTTCTCTTATTGAATAAATGAGAAGTTAATATTGTTTAAAATATTTTTAATATCTTACAATACATGTAGGTTATTCAGGAATTTTTATCATTGAGTTAGCAGCTAGTGTACACGCATACGTCTAGTCGCACGCACACAAACACCGAATGCCGAAGTCTGCCGAACTGAAACGACGTTAGACGATGCACGGCTTTCAACGCCACACCTCCGTGCCCGTCGGAGTGGGGAGCGTGAGGTTTTTTTTCGTTACGGAATTTCTGGATTCGGTCCCCGCGCTCAAGGCCCGCGATAGAAGCTGCAATAGCTTAATAAAGATAGTTATGACTTTAGACTTGTATTTACTCCGCTCCGTTTATGATGCTAGCAAAATGTTTTACCTTTGCATGTGCATCCGCCCTAGTTTATTATAGCGCTTACATGTTAAAAATACCGGCGCAGCGATGCCACAGTTATAGTGTTATTTGCTCTTATGTGATACAATGGGGTGACATCATTGCTGTTTGGCGTCTTGTCGTATTGTGTCTTCGATCGATGTTCATTGGAGAAACCTTTGTTCTCGATCAAAAATCAAGTTATCATGGGCTGTGATCATTACCGTTACAGCGTATTAAAGTCCACTGCTGAACATAAGCCTTCCCCACAGATTGCCTCGCTTCTTAGGAGGGTATATGCCATAGTTGACTTTCTTGGAAAGCGATTTTTAGCCGCCGTCTTTATATGAGTCCGAAGCGGTTCATCACGGTGTCTCACTCGCCTCAGACGACCCTCACCGGGATTAATCCGTTTGCAGAAACGACCACAGGAATGATTGCAGTAGGCAAAAAACCGCAGATATCAGTCACTTCGTGAGCTCTGTCCAGATATTTTTTTTATTAAAAAGAATATGGTTTCCTTGTGTATTTCAGCTTTTATGAGGTTTTCGTCATACAGAATGGTAATGTCAATCAAAAATATCCTTAACTGTGTCCGGTGCATCAGCTCAACATCGGAATTAATCGCAAAAATTGTCCTGTCCATGATTATCCGCTAGTCTCTAGAGCCTCGTGCGGTCATTTTCGAGCATGATTTCTGGCAAGTACTTATAATTAGGCAGTTTTCGATCCACGAGATTGTATTGCAGAGCCAGCTTTTGGTGTAAAATCCTGTATTTTAGGTTGTGTCTTTTATTATTATTTTTATTGTATACTTAGACCGAGTTGTGCCATCTAGCTCGAAAATTAGTAGGCTCGAAAAAAGGGTTACCATCTTCCGAAAATTTAAAACTGTAGTTAATAGCGCTGTCTATTGTCCAATTTGACAACTAATTGAGTTCACGTGGTGTATACTGTTTATAATTGCTAGTTCACTCGTGTTCATAAAATATTTAAGAAGCTCACAGCCGTGTATTTGTGGCTGTTACAATTTTATAAATAATTATAATTTAATTATGGCACATTGCAATAAAAAGAGAAGAGATTCATATTTCACAACAGATGAAAAACTGGCCATAATTATTTGTCAAATTGGACAATAGATAGCGCTGTTAACTATAATTTTAATTTTTCGGAAGTTGATAACCCTTTTTTCGAGCCTACAAAATTTCGAGCTTGATGGAAAAACTCGCTCTTAATGAGCAAATAAATACTTAAATAGACTCCGTTTCACGGAAGAAGTCCCTTAGCCGCGGTACCACAGCACAGAACACTAATACCCTTAGGCGGTTTCATATTCATAGATTTTGTTACTTCAATAAAGACGTAATAAATATATGTTTAACGAAATATATTATATAATAAAGTATTATAATTATTAAATAAAAAAATGATTAAAATGATGTGTCATTTAAAATAATATTTCTTTCATGGCAAGATAACATAAAGTGCGAGGGAGATAGATATTAATCCATCTCGCTTCCTTAAAGCCCCCCAAGGTCATCTCCCGGTACCAATCTTTTATTAGGAAGTTGACTGGCCCTGTACCACAGTCTTTGCAAAGTCAAATTCCAGACATAAAATTTTAGTTCGCACATTTTGTGTGGGACTTCTAAAGATAGATACTCCGTATAGAACAAGATTGTGCACTCTGCAGAAGTTGCAAAATTAAAATGTATTCTATCCTATTGACATAAAGTCTACTTTCATATAATATTAGGCTCAATGGTAAAAATGGCAGAGCGAGATGCCTCTATTTAGGAATGCATCTTTGTCTATAGAGTCGCCACAGTGAAATTCTTTTTCACGTAGTAGAATTAAATGATTTTTTATTTCTGTTCTAAACAATTATTGAATAAAATTAAAAAGAAGGCTGCATAAGAACATATTTATACTAATGCGTAATTTTCAACCGTGGATAACTACTTGCATTGTTTCAGATTTTTAGTTTTGGCAATTTTTACAAACAATAACTGAGTGTCTTACAATCTTCAATATGGCGTATACTTTGTGTGAATCGATTAAAGATATTTTATTTTACTCTAAAGTTTAATGTTTTATATTGTCGAAATAATAAAAAATGGATCTCACTTGTTGCGTGAAAGGATGCAAAAGTTACTAATAAAAAGGAAGTGGTGTATCTTTTCATAGGTAAATAACTTTATAATGCTTGAAGTATATTATATTTATTTTAGTCAAAGACATTTCTTTTTTTTCTGTAAAATCAAAAATATTATTATTTCTATACGAAGTATATTATTATATCTTTAAGTCTACTAAAATCTTCTAGCTTTCCATATTACTAAAGTGATTTATGTTATGATTTAATGTTTTGTTTGACAGAATGCAATGTTACGTGGGCGTGTTGGTGTGCACATTAACCGTCCATATACAACGCATAATGACATATTTTTAAAGCGATACCTACTATCCGACAAACA